ATAAAATTAAAACTAAAATTTATATCTGAGTAATGTCTAAATCATAAATTTCTTTCTTTCTTTTTTCTTTTTTCCAAATTTCAAACCTACCTTAACCTAACTATCATCTCTTTATACTTTTAATTAATCTCTTCCTAAAAAAATGATTCTTTTATCAACATTAAGTAAAAATAGTCTATTTTTGTCCATATAATATATGAGAAATTATTTATATTTATATTTATATATATCTAAATCTAATACAGTTATTACATCCGATTATTCCAACTACGATCGCATATCGTAACCCTCTTTATTGTTTAATCAATCTAAATATAATTTAAAAATAGCATAAGAAAAAATACAAAAAGAAAAAAAATTCAAACAAAGCCTAAAAAAGGTCAATGGGTGGCTAAATTTGAATTTTTGAAGCCAATAATTGATCCAGCTGTGTAAATACCTGCTCCACCAAAAACTCCAGCAAACATGTTCTTATCAAAATGCCTTTGTCCATTATTATAATATAACTCATAGTACATTGTACTAAAAAAAAGAACCAAAAAGAAAAAAAAGACACATTTTTGGGTTTGTGTTTAATGCATTTTATCTTTTTTTTTTCTCTTTCAATACCAAATTTTTGTTTGACTTTTCCTTCTTCTTGCTTCTCATCTCTTCCATGCCTATATTTATATTATTAATTTTGTTCATTTTTCTTCAATTCACATGTTGGATTGAATCATTTAGATTAAGATTTGATATTGTTAATAATTATTATGCGTTTGAGGAATTATATTTGTGGATGTTTGAATATAGTTGTCGTGTCGGTGGACTTGTAAAAAAAATTTAAAATCGTTTAGAGCGTCCAATTAATATCGATGTGATATTTGCTGAGGAGGGAAGCAGAGTAGTAAAAATTATTGAATAGGTTAATTGTTGATCAAGAATCCCTAACTACTATTTGTAGAATTAATTAGAGTCAAACTACTTTATGATCCTTAATGATGTAGGACCATTTTATCAGTGGAGTTACTGAAAAGAAAATTGATATAAGAATGAAAAACTTGTAGGAGTTTGAGATGGGTTTAGACTCATAAAGAAAAGTTAGCTAATGAAAATAGTATGTCATAGAGATTTAATATGAACAACGATGGCTCGAAAACCATCATCCACTAAGATAATTTATACAAGTAGGAGAGAAGAATAACGAAGAAAATAAAATATTTTTTCATAATGTATTTTAGAAAAATAAAGAATTTGTCAAATTTTTAGTGGCAGCCAACAGAAAGATAGATGCTGATCGATAAGTAACTAAATATTGTTATTTACTTAATATGTGCGGGTAATCTTACCACCGACATCGAGCGCATGTGTGAAAATTCTCATAAAATGTAATTAACGACCACTATTTAGTTTATATTATCTTTTGTTCTTATATACATATTTTTGTTATGAAAAGTCTTCTCAGTTTAAGACATTTTGAACCTTTTGTTTACTTTTGGCAGTGAGAATTCTTATTGAAATTGAGTTTCAGTTAGGTGTGTATTGAAAATGTGATTCACAACTTGGTTAAAATTGTAGATATTTTGGTTGTTGATAAGTTCGCTGCTTAAAAACGTTTTAACCCGTTTTTAATTTGATTCCTAAAGTTTAAAAATTCTCTTTTAGTCCCTTAAATTTTTATGAGTTCCAAACGAAAGGTTTTACTTTTAAAATTTAATTAAATACAGAGAAGTTAAAAAAAAAATAGTAAATGATATAGTTTGTTTTACTTTCGAAACATCCATATATATAATTATTAGGTTATAAGGTAGGCAGATGATAAGATGAATATATTAAACCCATCATTTGTTTACAAATCAAGAAAAATAGAATTGAGAAAGAAATAAGTTTGAAGAAGTTCCGAGTAATAAGATCATAAATATCAGACATAGATACATGTCACGTTTTCGTAGCATTAAATTTATAACTTATCAAACTTCGAGAGATCAAAATTGATCTTTATAAATTTAGTAGGTTAATTAAATTAGAGACGGAAGGTGATCAATTTTAACTGCTCAAACTGTATTTTAACTAAACATTAGAACTCCCACTTTACAAATTATACTCATCAGTGAGAATCGACTAAAATGTACATTATTCCCAATATACTAATGTAAAATTTATTTTTAATTTTATATTAAATAACCATCATAGATTGAGCCGGTAGAAAATGAGGCTATGAAAACTAACTTGAGAACTTTGAATACAAATACTTAAATATCTTACAGGATCTTGAAGATTTCTCTTGTTGGAATAGTCGAAGTTCTGCAACAATAAATTTTTTAAAACTATTTCATCAAGTTTTCCTCACAAAAAACCCTCTTGGTTTATTTTTGAAAAAAGAGTATAGAAAAATATTTGTTAGATGTGACTTCAAACCCACTCCATCTTCATGCACCATATTGATTATTAGTGTTAGAGAAAAGGAAAAGAAAAAAAAAGAGAGAGAGAGAGGAGAGGTCTCAAATGAATAATGGGTTGCTTGAACATGAGATTGTGTGGTTTGTGGAAAAGTGGAATGAAAAGTGATCCCCACATTCCACTCAATCTCTCTCACCTTAATTATTTCACACCTCACTCCAATATCCAAAACAAATCAAAAGCTCTCTCTTTCTCATCTTTCTCTCCCCCACAACATTTTAGGACAAAATTTCAAGAGAGAAAAAAAAAAGAAAGAGAGAAAAAATAAGAAACGTGGTTTTGGACAATCCAATCCCCTTCACAAAAACATACAACTCCCTTAGTTGGACCACTAAACACAAAAAGGCTGACATCCACCAAATGAGAAGAGGGAAGGGATTCTAGAGATAAATCAAATGTATCAGAGAGAAATCAATGTACTGATGAGAGAACAGTGAGGGTCATTATTAGAATTATACAACTATTAGAATATTATTAAAGGTGCTTCCACCGTCCTAAATATATGATTTCGTTCCGTTAAGGCCAGAGGAAGTTCCATTTGCTCCATTTCCATATAGCTGACAGTATGTGCACATCAAACTCTCCCTCAAACACACGCATTCAGAAGTCTACTTTTCCCATTTGGCACATATAAAAACGGGTAGGATTTGGATAAGGGACCAAAGTTGAAAGCTTGGGATTCGATAAAAAAAAAATAGAGTAGAGGATGGCAGGGGATAGAGAGTAGTATGAAAAATTTCAAAGTATGAATCAAAAATATGTTTTGGGATTTAGAGAAACAAAAGATTAAAGGAATAGTTGGTGAATACACTTAATTTTTCAAGAGTAGAAAAGTAGTAAAGTAAATTAATTATCAAAAGTGATTTAGGATGATCTGAAAATAGAAGGAAAAAAAAAGGAAAGAGATAGAATCATTTGAAAGAAGAAATGTATTATCTTATTGGAGGAGAGTTCTACACTTCAACTCAAACGTACGCACCACAATGAAATAAATAACCCAAAGTGAAGAAAATCACAAATCTTACACAATGCGTACTTAATCTATTCACAAATAGAGATAAATTAAAACAAATAACAAAAAGCTTCACTATTTCAAATCACAAACAAATATTCATCATCTTCTGCAACTTCCAAGCCCTGCCATTGATGCAAACTCGACCCTTGAAGCCACTTTCCGAGAAGAACACAATAATAAAATGATATGGAAGATGGCAACAAGAAAAGAAGATGCAATTTGGTCCCAACTATGTAGGTTTGAATGCTCTGATTTTGTAAAAGGACCTTTATTCTTCAATGGACTCAATTCTCCACCTCTAACCGTTTCACTAATGAAGCCTTTCTTTATTCCACTTTTGAAAATAAAACCTGTGGAAATGTCAATGATCGTTAGAAATTGTGCTAGAAAATTTGATGGGTAAATGAAAAATCATGAGTAGGGATGCTTGAATTACTTACAAGATTGGTGTTGAAGACTTT